CTAGTACTTTCTCAGTTTTATTCTTTCTTTATTAAGCAAGTGATACTGTCTGGAAAAGACATATGGTCCTGTCCTGCCTTTGCCACTGCAAAACTGCAAAAGAAACATTTTGTGGGTTTTTTTCTGAAAAAAATCAAGAATACATCTGTGTTTCCGAAATGGGATCACAATTCATCTTTCTCTCATTGGATCTATGTTTATTCTCTGACACCACAATGATCTCTAATGTGACAGCTTACTTTGAAGGATAACAGTGGAAACAGACTCCTAAGAAACAATCTCTTCTTCCTGAAAAACTACTAAGGAATCAGAAATTATACCTTTCGCATGGGGAATACTGCAGATTCTTAGAGCAGAAGAAAATATTGACTATTACCACTATACTTAAAAAATAAAAAGCTTGCATTAGTTCTACTGCAGATGATAAAGGAATATTACTATTTATCAGATAACCAAATTATTCTCAAAAGACTATGTATATTCACAACTAAAAAGTTACTTACTCATTCTTCCATAATTGCGACCAAAATGTACATCTGTACTGTAAACATATATAAGCCCTGCTATTTGACAGTGGCAGCTATTTTCTTCTTAGAGGACTTATTCATACCCTACCATCTTTTATGCTTGGCACATAACTATGTAAGACAAGCGCAGACAATGCTACTTTAGTTTTCTTTAAACTGTAGAATACTGATGTTGGATAACCAGGAAGGAATCGGAGAGGACAATGGGAAGGGAATGTACCTGTGGACCACCTCGCTGGAAGCCCTGCACACCCCGTAACAGCGCAGTGCTTGGTGAAGGTATGCATAAACTTCCAGGTGGGTGCCATGAACAATAAATCAGTGATGGTCCAGAGAAGTAATTTTAGCTCCAAAGATGAAAACTGGCTCCAACCCGGCAGTCTCATTACATTTTTTTCCTATGGCTCACCATCCATTTGATCTTCGCATGGACAGGGGTGTTTTTCTGGATCTGCCAGATAGCAACACAGTCAGCCTCAGGTCCTATATGGAAGGTCAAGCCCTATCAATGTGAGATGAAAGAGCCTTTTCAACAGAGGGTGAGAAGGACTACTCTGATGTCAGAAACACTAGGTTTGCAGGGAAAACACAGCAACGGGTATGCTTATTTTCTGATTAAGAATAATTCTGAAATCATCTTGGGAAATAATTCTGTATGGATCCACAAGGACACCTTCACCTGAGAGAATGTCGTGCAAGGAGGAAATCCATGCTACACTGGCTTAGCTACTTCCCTGTTTTCCTGTTGGAAGCAACTGCAATCTACTTTTTGCAAAAAGACGGAATTGTGAGCAGGACTCTATGCCTCAAACAATGGCCCTAAAAGCATTTGGAGAACCAAGCTCACGTTCTCGTTTGGAACTGAATCCACAACGCTGAATTAGTACAAAAGAAAACATTAAGTCAGTTCTCAGGCTAGGTATAGATTCCTGCCAGTTGCACTGGGTCAACTGCTTCCTGGCTGGTAGCCAGCAGCCTCAGGCTACCCCTGCGTGTTACACAGTACAATGTCCTAGTCTCCTCTTCCACCAGCCAACAAGTACATGGGAAACTGAACCAAAAGACCTGCAGAAGGGATGCCACTCATCACCACTGACCTAGATGAAAGAGGAGGATGCAAGGGTATTATTAAAAGGACAGATGCTGAATCCATTTCTCTATATAACGAGAATATCTTGCTTCTGAAGAAAGTTTAAAAGGTATCTGCCTCTACACTTAACCACGATCAGGCAATACATAAGTATACGCTTCCGTTTGTCTTGGGATAAACAAGCAGGAATTCACCGTGGCAAGAGGACTGAAGTCCAGCTGTAACATTAGGTTCTCATGATCTGCAATTTGTCAAAAAGTAGTGTCCTGGTTTCAGCTGGGATAGAGTTAACTTTCTTCCTAGTAGCTGGTACAGTGCTATGTTTTGAGTTCAAGCAGGTGGTGAGCAATTGCCCTGCGCATCATTTGTACATTCCAATCCTTTATTACTACTGTTGGCATTTTATTAGTGTTATCATTATCATTATTAGTTTCTTCTTTTCTGTTCTATTAAACCGTTCTTATCTCAACCCAGGAGTTTTACTTCTTTTCCCGATTTTCTCCCCCATCCCGCTGGATTGGGGGGGAGTGAGTGAGCGGCTGCGTGGTGCTTAGTTGCTGGCTGGGGTTAAACCACGACAGGTAGTTAAGTCTTTGGTATCTGGTAGTGACTTCTGTGGCCTGAACTGCAACAAGAAGTGACTTTTGCACACTCATTCTCTGACACATGGACATGAATAGACTGGATGACCCAGTCTCTTGATGGTCCCTTTATCAGGCAGCAGTCCCAGGTATAAAAATAGATACAATTGTCTCGGGTGAGCAACTATCCAGCCAACGCACTGGTAAACACTATTGTAGCAGCAGAGAGTACGAAGGGAAAGTTTATTTTTTGCAATGGTGTCCATATACTGCTAACTTCACCTTTTTAAATAAGAATGTGTGGATAAAGGTGTTGAGACTTCTTACACCATATCAGTAACCTATCTAGGTTGCTTGCCCTAAACCCTTTACCTCTGAGGTAAAAGGGCATGAGTTCTGTGGTTCCCAGGGTTAACGAAGAGTCAATTTCCTTCAAGACAGATCTGTACAGGGTGGGTCTCCAAAAATACTCATAATGAAAGGTGGAGGAGAGGAGTGGGACTGCTAGAGAACAGAAAGGCAAACTGGATCAAGTAACTTGTGGTTAAGTGTCTAAAACCCAGAATGATCCCTTGTCAAGTTCAATGGAAGAGAGCTAACGTGTTTTCAAAAGTGAGAGAAAGAGAAGCAGATGAAAGCAACTGAACAGGATATTTGCACTCTTTGAGAATGTTTTCCAAGACTGCTGACAAGAAGGCAATGAGGGGGTAAGAGCTGGCAATGACACCTGTAGTCTATGCCAGTGATGACAGTATCAACCCTTGTGTTCTTTCTTGTTGCTGCAACAGATTCTGGGTGTGGAACACAAGAAAAGTGGCCACTATACTAAGCCAATCTGGGATCCTTAAATGTAGGTAACTGCTGAGTGTTCCTGCACTAAACACAAAGGAGATGTCAGAAATTGCCAACCAGGATAGCAACAACCTGCATCCAAGTCTTCCTTGGAATCTATGCGATGAGATTCTGCAAAGGAGACCAGGTATCAGTGAGTTTGTCTTCATAGCTAGAGCAGCTGGTGACTTGACAAACAGCTGAAATGCACACACTTAACCAACCAAAATTATTTAGGTACTTCAAACCTGAACTGTGAGAGCATGACTGCTCAGATGTCTCTTCACTGCTGAAAGAATCAAGGAAGATGGAACCAGATGGATGAAGAGAAAGTTAGTGGCTCCTAAGAATACTGATGTCTCCTTTACAGTTGGAGAAAAAGAATGTATCAAAAGATCTTGCTATGATCAAAAATGGTTTCATTAACTTTACATACCATATTAACTTATAACCAACTATCAGCAGTTTCAATTTCCTCCCTGAGTGCAAATTGAAGATGACTTCAAATTTGCTTTAACTGATTTAGAAAGACTCTCAAACCCACAAACCTGACCATCCTAAAACCTTCATTTCCAGCCAGAAGTATCCAGAAGGTGATGTGTATCAGTTTCCTTGACATCCCTTAATTTTAAGGTTCAGAATAAAAAATGAAAGGCAATCTAAACTTGTGTGTTGAAACAGGTTCCAGGGCTTGTTGCTGCTACTCAGGATTCAATAGTCCTGAAAATAAGAGTAAAGAGCTATGCTGAATCAGTGCCTCCTCACCTCCTCCCTTCAAACTAAGGCACATTCTTCTTCAAAGACGATTAACATAATAGAGACTTTCTGCTGGTGCTGAGTTGCTGCAAGAGGTGGGGAATCCCTTGAAGAGTCCTTCTTTAAACAAATGGTAGGACTGAAGGGCCTTGTAAAGCCCTTTAGGTTGACCAGAAAATTGTCTCAGTATCAGGTGTGTACTATGTCAAGTAGAAATCTTGAATGCTGACAGGAATGGAAATAAGGGCTAATTCAGCATCCACAGAATCCTTGGCATTAAGTAAAAAAAATAAAGCTGTCTTTCACGTCAATACTGGAGTTGCATTTGGCAATCCCAGGGGAGAGGCAGAACGACATTTCCAAGCACCGCAATCAGTACTGTTGACTGAAGCCAGACATGACAAAACCACAATTTTGAGAGTGCTTCCCTTGCTTTTTCTCACTAGGCATCAGTGTCAGAGCTGTCAGCACTAATACTGGAGCAGATCATTTGGGTCAACTGAGCTTCCACAACAGATTCTCAGGTGGCCAAACCAGAGCTGCAAAGGGAGCCAAAACAACGTCCTCATGTCCATCTTTTTATAAATCCTCAGGAAGTGAGATGTTTGGCACTCCGAGTGCTAGCTAATGGTAAAGATGGGGTGGCATACTCTGGGATGCGACTTCTGCTTATATACTAGGAAACAGCTAAGTTTTGGTGCCCACCTCAACCAGTTCTGAGGCTGATACACTCAATTGTTTTTAGCAGAAATATCTAAAATTCCAACTCCCTCTCCCTGCAACCAGGGAGTTCGGATAAAACCCAGCAAACTCAGTACCTTCCTATTCCCCCTCGCCTCCACTGAGGCTATATAAACACTAGTTATACAGCTCAGTTAAGCAGGATCATATGTTCCAAGTGACAGGCAGATGGAAGATTATTTTTGAAGAAATCATCGGAAGATAAAAACTTTAACAGAAGAAGGCAAATATGAGAAGGAAAATGCACGTTAGAGGCCTTTCCAAACACTAAGAAGCACAGCATCAATATACATACAATCACCACTAAGAACAGTAGCACATACAATTCTGAATAACAGCTGCATAGTATTAATCAGGCAGACTGTCAGTTCTTGACTACAGTGAACAGTTTTCAGCATACAAACATCACAGTCTAAAATTAAATGAGAAATAAACATTTTATACTGTATTACAAGAATATATTCCAAATCATACCTCGGGTGCCAGGTATTCTGGAGTACCGCAGAATGTTTTCATAGTTGCTGCGTCTGTGATCCCTTCTTTGCAAAGTCCAAAATCTGTAATTTTTATGTGTCCATCTTTATCCAACATTAGATTTTCTAACTGTGTGTTGGGGAAAAAAATGTTCCCTTAGTATTTCTTAACAGGACTGGCTGATGCATTACATCAATTTTGTAAAAAAGATACAGAGTTATTGCTTGCAATAGAATTTAATTTGTTTGTAATTTAAAAAAAAAAAAAACACTACAGCATCTATTTATTACAGTATTTAACAATGCTTACTGTTATACAATAATTATTATTATTATTAATGTAATACAATAATTATTTAAAACTTTAATACAGTTTACAATAGTCAATACCAGGTCAATCAAAGCGTGACCTTTCATTCTGAAGTTTTACAAGTTTGGTGCATCCTCCATACAATGGAAGCAAAATAAATTTCTAAATATTCTCAATAAATAATCAAGTAATTCAAGGTTACAATCATGGCTGTAATTTGGTAAGACTTCATAGGTTTCCTTTGCTGTAACATGACCTTCATTTATCAAGATGCATTTTACTTACTATACTGTCATGAAATAGTTAATATATATCCGTAGATCCTTAAAATATCTGCATCTTCTACCACCTTTTCAATAACAGACAAAAGTGTGGGTAGAGAGGCTGCTGATAAAAACCAAAACCCTGAGGTAAATTCCTCCTTGTATACTTGCAAAGGACACTGTTCTTAAATTGTGTATGTGTAGCTCTGCATGCTTTGCATTGCTTTTTAAATACATGATTCTTGCTTTGAGATATGAAAACAGAATATAGCCTGTTACAAAGTATTTAAAGAACAGGAATAAAAACTACTGCAATATTTACTGTGGACTATCTCAAAAGCATGGCTAGCATCACTTTCCCAAAAGCTTTTTATTAGCAATACTTTAAATACAGATAGAACTAAAACCAAGTAAAACATACTTCTGAACAACTTTTCTCAACAGAAAAAGGGGTTTTTTTAGTAATTATAAGGTGTGTAGTGAAAATACCAACTAAGAACAATCATAACCCTGTCTTCCTAAGTCTGCATAAAGCCTGAAATACAATTCAAAGGTTTTTCCAGTTTAGTCTAACAGTGTCATACAAAGAAGATGCAAAGTAGATGACACCAGCAATAGAAGATTAATGACGTCAAATTCCTCTTTCCTTTTTATTTAGAATTTAAATAAAAAATCATGGCCTATTATTCCTTGACCAGACAATCCCATATTTTTCCCAGATGTTATAGCATTTCATACTATTACAACAGATTCTGCTACAAACAGGTAAGTCAGTATTTTGTTTTGTCTGCCGCCCAGAGCAGAACTTGCCTACCGTTGCCTCCTTCTCTTCTATTCCTGTACAAAGGAGTCCATTAATGAACTCCACTAGTGCGCATGTATAATGCAAAAGCACAATTTCCCGTACAAGAAATTGAAGGCTTGTTACAGAAATAAAATAGTATCATCGTGGAATTTAGAATTTCCTCTCACATAAGTTAGAATATGTTCCTGTTGAAAGCAGAGGTTATTTTCCATAGAACATGGTCATACTGTGTTACAGAGCACCTGGAGCTTCAGGCAACAGAGGATACAAAACTGTATACGCAGGCAAATGTAAGCCAAACTACATTCCAGTATCATGAATCCTTCCCAAGACATAAAAGAAAAAATAATTTTTAAATTAAGGCTGAACTTCTTTTCCTATTGAAGTATTGTTTTAAATGTTTTCAAATCGTATAAGAACGTAACTCTTTGGTGAGATAAACAGAATGCAGTCACATTGTCCCAATTCTCCATTTCCCTTGTTTGGGGACATTGAGAATTATATTTGAGATTTGTGTTGAAATCCAAGTTAAGTTGTAAGTAATGGGAAAAAAAAAAAAGCATAAGAAGTTTAGATCTCCTTCAAGTGCTATTACTAAGGTATGCTGTTTTCTTTTTTAATCAAGTTTAAGTCAAGTAATGTACCCATCTATAGATTACTGTATCAAACGACTTCCTTCAGCACACACTGAACTTTAAACTGAACACAGATTTTTTTTCCCCATTAACTCTGAATAGTGCAACTTTATAATTACTTTGTGTTTGTCCCAATAGTCTCTGCAAAACCAAAAATTTGATTACTTTTTTTTTCTTTTTTTACCTTGAGATCACGGTACACAATCTTCCCAGAATGCAGATAGTCCAGGGCAGAGACAATTTCTGCACCATAGAAGCGTGTGCGGTCCTCTGAGAACACCCGCTCTCTCGACAAATGGAAAAACAGCTGCAGGGTAAACAGCAGGGACAGGATTGTAATAATTACTGATTTAGTGGGGGAAATTAACACAAACATAAAACACCTCTCATCACCATATTGTGATGATAGATAGTGTACTCTCAGTGGACACTCAGCACTCTTAGACAGCAGCTGGCTTATCTTTTCCAGGTTTCCAAAGGGAGAAAGCGAGCTGTTAAATCAGCGTTTTAATCAATATACCAATCTTGTTTAAGGCATTCTGCTTGCTACTCATTTAACCTTCAGTTACCAGAGGAAAAAAAAAAAAGTAGTATGCAGCAGCATCATTCTGTACTTCTCCCTCCACCACTTACTTGGATTTTTATTTTAAGCCACTGAGAAATATCACTAAAATACCCAGATTCTGGTTCTGCCTTAAGTTTTTCAGTAATTAATAACTTTCCTTTGAACTGAAAAAAGTCTAGTTCTTCAGCAGACTTCAACTAAACAGGTGAGCTGGCATTTTACAAAAACAGCACATTCGTACTGCTAGCAATATCACAGTCACTAGAAAAAGCAAAGGAACAACTGCTTAGGGCTTATAAAAACAAATCCGTGTATTTAGTGTATTTCTTTGCTACAATGTAAACATTTCTTTGGGGGTTTTGTCTCTTTAATACTTTATAAGTAACAGCACTTTGCAGACACTTTTTCAACTGAAGGCTTTCAGTGAAAAATACTAGACATTACGTATTGCCAGTAACTTCAGCTGCAATGAAAAAGCCTAAGGTGAAGTTCGGTAAGGCTGTCAGCATCTTATTGGATAAAACATCACCCTCAGAACCTGGAACACCTCCTAAAAAAGCAGGATTTGGCTATTTAATTCAAATGTTCTCTAAAATGGCTGGTTTTATTTAGTGTGTTAAGAAAGCTTGGTAAAGTCCTCAAGCAAAGATTAGTGAGTACATTTCTGTATTCTGCTTAAGACCAAACAGGCTGCCAGCCTTACTCCTTCATGTTATAATGTTTTTGGTTTCACCACAAGAGCTAACAATCAAAACAGAAATACAGAAAATGTGATCATTTATAAATTAAATATAGACAAGGAAATCCATAACAACAATGTGGGGGGTTTATTTTCACTGCTAAAAAATATCAAGTAGATGAGAATTCTGAAATGGCAGGGCAGGGACAAAAAAAAACCCAAAACCCACCAAGCAAAAAACCAATGATGTGCTTAATCTGTCATTACCACATCCTACTTTACACCTGTAGGAAATCTACACTGCTCACACAGCACAGAACAGTGTAAGAATTTCTGCAGCTATTTTCAGTGTGTGGACTTTTCAAAATGTAATTAAAAAGTCAATCCTGTAAACAACTAGAAGTCAACTTCTTTCCTGACAATTGTACTTCAAAAAACGTGTATTACTTTCTTCTGAACCTAAATGAACTTCCCACTAAACTGAGTTTTTTGGCAGTATATACTTGTATAAGCAGAGACCTCACAGAAAACAGAAGCTGCAGTATGATTTAAAGAGAATATTTCATTTTTGTTCATTGTATGTGCATTCCCCTTTCAATTTCTTTTTGAATTCCCAAGACACCCTGTATAAAAATGGAATACCTGCGTGAAAAGGAGGATCATTGTTTTGCAGGTACTCAATTGCTCATTTCTCTCTTTAAGCACCAATCTCTGGTGGTGACATAAGCCCTCCCTGTAGTAACCTGCTTTCTGTACTGACGACTGCTTAACTGCCAACGCAAACACAAGACCCATCCAGACTAAGCAACTACGTCTGCCTTTATGAAGTGACTCACATATTATAAAATTGAGAAAAGAATAAATAAATTTCTCAGTTTGTGGGGTCTTTTCCACACATTTTTGCAAATTTAAATAGGAAACAAACACCACTAAGTGGATCTTCATCCAAATAAAGCAAAATACATTTATGTCATTTATGCATTTATGTCTGTTTTGTGGCCTCTTTCATAAATAATGAGTTAATTTCACTCATTTTAAGAGTTTTACTTGTTTCGACGGACTCAAAGTAATTCAAAATAAAGGCCAACTTTCAGATCACTTTTTAATGTGTACAAATAGCAAATACATTCCAAAAATTTACAGTATAATCTCCAGTTAGCCCTACATTCATATCCATGCAAAAGGACTTTTGCAGTTTTCTATATTAACTACTGTATCCACTAGTTGAGCAGCAAAGTCTTAGAAAATTCTAAAATCTCAGGATACTTGTCAGCAACAGATATATTAGTTTCCATTAAAAAAAAGTGTCCCAATTTGAATCTGAGAGTTGATAACCTGACAAGTTAACATAACAAAAATTTATTTTCTTTAGTGTTTATTTCCAACAAAATATTCTTGATATTAATTTAAAATACTAACCTCAAAGCAAAATGACCAGCTAGAAACAACTAGCAACAGTTGTGTTTGGCAAAGAGACTACGAGTTCCCAAGTCAGTTTATTTTAACATTATATATGACACTACAGTCGCTCTTCATAAGCATTCTTCATATTATTATAGCACCTAACAGCTGTCATCAAACCATACACACTAGTTTTGAATGAAGAATGTAAATTTAGATATGAAAATGTATATTAAAAGTGAATTCATACACTGAGTTATATGCTAAAGATATTAAAGAAAATGTTAAAATCATAATAAAAAAAATCTAATTCAGTGAGATTACAGCATTATTTTCAGCTAATTATTTAGTTGGTTCACTATTGTGGAATAATTATGCCACCAGGCTCTATTTACAATTGTCGGAACATGAAGAGTAGACTTATTAAGTCAGAGAAGGGAAAGAAGAAGTCTGATGGAAGGTTATGCAAAAAAGCTTCCAATATTTGCACTATTTATTGATTTGCAGTTATTAAATATGTGCTATAAACTCATTGGAATTGCAATAAGAATAGCTTTGGCACAAAGCAAGCCATTTTGCACATAACATTTTTGATGGCATACATGAGGGTGCTATAGTTATGGTGAGGACTGGAGCTATAAATTTGCTGGTATGTATTTAAAAACTGAACAACAGTGTTGCCATGGGTTTTTCTCCTAATAAAAAATTTTAATGGAAAAATTTTAACAAATAAAAACAAAGATCAAACATAAAAGTACATTCAACTGCAGATCCAAGCATGCCAAATATATAAAAGACAAAACCTTATATCAGTCAATATGTTAAACTTCTACATATGCTAGTGACCTATTTAGCATGTTGAAAGTTGTATGACTGGCTCTTGCTGTTGCATATTGCATTTGCTCAGCTCTGCAGGTAAACACATTTTATATTTGACTGTTGATTTGACTCTTTTGCAAAGCATTTGCAGTAGCAGCCTTGAAATTTTGAACTATTTGTTTATTGTTTCAGACTTTATATTGCTTCTAGGCACATTCTATACCCAAAGATATATAGCACCCTTATCTTGGACTATCATAATTTTAGGTTACAAACATTCTCTCACTTACTTAGAGTTTAGGAAAATAAAACAGGACACAACCAAGATAAAAATGACAAAGCATACAACAATATTCAGTTATTTTTCATTAGGTCACTTGTAAATCCTCTGTCTTTTTTCCTAGACAGTAATAGCACTTGTTCAATTACAACAAACCAATTAGTTCTCTCTTGCCTAATGAATTAAGTAAGAGCTGTTGAAAAAAGAAAAAAAAAAAGAAAAAAAAAAGCCAAGTGGAACAGAGATTCAGAATTCTGGTGTGGAGAAACCAAATTTTTGAGTCTAATTTTATTATACAGATAATTACCAATTACGTTTGTTACAAAGTATGGAATTTGGAATTATCCTGAAAGTGCAAAGCAAGGAAGTTAATCAACTTATTAGTCAGCTGAATCAGTGTACTCTGCAGAGTAATGTATGTCATAGATTTAATTCCTAAAGCTTTTCAACCTTTAAAGCAAAATACTGGAAATAAAAAATGGGAAACATACACTCTAAAAGTATTCCCCAACAATACAGAGCCATTCTTACAGTATCATTTTTTATACCACAGTTTATACTATTCTGTGTGGCCTGGAAGTTGGGGGAACACTGTAATGTACTACTAACATACTGCAATCACATAATACTCAAAATTTTATGGGTTTACAAAAGGAAGAGTAGACACATCAATACTAGCAGGAAAACCATCAGTACAGCCTTACACATTTTTTTTCAAAATGTTGATAGGACAAGGAGAGCAAAAAAATGTACAAAAAGGAAGGGGGTTTGTTTTCTTTAAAGTAGGCCTGTGGTTATCTGTAAGTACTGATAGTTTTACTTATTTAAAAATATTTATATGAATATTCTGTATTTTGAACCAAAGAACACAGTTTATCATGCAATACTGCATGTACTTTTTTACCACACACTCATAAAATATGTCATTTCAAAGTCTTGATAATGGAATTTGGTCATCTCACTGAAACCAGATTAATTTTTTTTTTTCTAAAATCAAATTTCAATGCCTTAATGCTACTGTAATGTAATTCCTTCAGTATAACAAAGGTATTGAGAATCACAATGTTAGAAGTATCCTTCTAGCTCTATACTGCAACATAGTTTATGATCAATAGACATTGCTAAACATTTCATCCACAGACTCCAACAGCAACACTAAGAAAAGAAAAAGTTAAGCTTTCAGCCCCCAACAAAGATTTCAAGGTTGGGCCCTTAAGCAGCAGAAAATTAACTGTAAAAGTTGTCAGTATGAGGAAAATGTGTTCAGTATTTCCATCTGAATAATTTGCTTGAAAAAATCCTCTAAAGTTTCACTTTAATACATTTAGCTACAGAATATGGGTTTTTTTCTTTTTTTAAAGGAAGCCAAAAGAGAATTCAATACAGTAATACTTTGTACATTGTAAAAAAGCACACGTAGACCAGTAAAACTGATGCAATTACATTTTCATTATAATGTGTTCCCTTATTAACTGAGCCTAACTAATTTGAAGTTACACAGGCAAAGGTAAGGCAAAGATAAATTGCTACTATTCGGGCAGAATATTAAATTCAACATGGATCTAGATTTTTAACAGGTATAAGAACATTCTTGTTTAGAATAATTTTAACACAATTTCTTCTCCTCCAGAATGAAACTCAGTGACCCCTTCTTTGACTGTTTTCCTTCCTAACTATAGGAAGAGGAACTAAGATATCTGACACTCTTCATTACTGTAGTAGGGCAGAAGCCTAAATTGTGCCATGTTCTTGCTTTCACCTAGGTGAGAGTCAAGAATACAGATACAAATTTCAAGAACTCCTTCGTTCAGAGGACTGTTTGGGTAATGTGCTCCTGAAAGACATAATCCATGAAAATTCCCAAGCAATTGACTCAGGCACAACTGTTTAACTAAAAAGAAATCTTTAATCTAAAGGAATTTTAAACAGAAACACACTGAAGATAGTACAGCTCTGGAGAAAATCAAAAGCAACATGGAACTGCTACAGTCAATTTCCCACTGGAAGGATATAATTAAAAGATGAGTTTCAACACCTTCAACAGTGAGAAACTATTGTAATGAAATGAAACTTCCTTGGAAGACAGAGAGAACAGTAGAGGGAAGCAGCAAAAGAAAAAACTCTGTGTACCGTATAGGACATATGCTTAATAAATGGCTAAAATGCTGGCTAAACTTTGTGCAACTTACTTTCAGTAGTTCTGAGTTAATAACAAGGCTATTTTTACAAATATAAAGTCCTTTGTATTTCTTAATAGACACTGACTAAAGTCTGAAATTCACAGGAAAATTTGGTAAGATTAAAGATTTTCCCATTAAAAAGGACAGCTTGTCCAACTAACTATTCCAGATCTCTAGTCAAGGAGAAGCACATAAGCAAATCAAGAGAGTTTCTTCAAAGAAAACTGCCTACTCTGAAAAGCCATTATTTCCCACTGTGGCAAAAATTTACTGTTGGCTTCACTGAATTAGGGAACCATCAGCAAAGAACATGAGCAACATTGACAAACAAAAGCAAAAGCAGGCTGCCACCAGGAAATCCATGACACAAGATGTTTACAGCAGTTGCCACAAAGGACCACCACCCAATGCAGAGGAATGCAAGATACAAGCTTGATCAAAACACAGAGTCAGAGTATCCTCAACCATAAGGAAGGAGTTGAAAACATTCTCTGCAGGCTCTGCTCTGCATTCAAATAGAACAGAAAGTTATCTTTCAAAAAGATGAGTATCTAAATGATAAGGCTGATGTTAAAAATATACTTTCAAAGTGCATCCCCTGAGATTACAGAAATGCAATAAGGTCCTGCACAGAGGAAACGAAGAAGAATTAGGTAGTTTTTAAGGCATCACTTTTAAAACTCATTATAGATAGCACTGACTTCATATTGGTGACAAGTTCAAATTCAAATATGCCAGCTGGGTGTCCAAGAGAAGGCTGTTATCCCATTGCTGCTGAGGGACATTTTTGTGTTTAGTTCAACTAGCCAAAATGGTTCAACGCCTGTGATGTCCAGAACGGGGTTCATACACATTGAGTCAAACAAGCCATCCTCCCACAGGAGAGCCCTATAGCACCATGTTTAGCCATGGCTGGTAGAGGATGGCCATGGATGCATTAGGATGTAAACAGGCCTCAGACTCGGCCCAGAAATCACCAGAGCAACGAATGCCAGGACAGGCACTCTGGGGGTGCTCAGGCATTAGGGTTCTAGCTGAAGACAGTTTTGTTGTAGGAGAGCACAGCAAAAGGATAATGCAAAACACGGTATCATGCTGCAGCAATTCCTGAATGAAGAACCAGTTTTCTAAGAAAAAAAAAACTAGTGGAAACTGCCCTTTAACATTATTATGCAGCATACAGTAGACAAGGAAAACCCCCTAGTTCAGGTTGTAACAGGATACAGTCTGAATAGCAAACAGCAGCTAAAAGGCAGATAAAAGCCCTCTTCTTAGATTGCAGTTCTGTTTAATTCCGTTTGATGGGTATAGGTTTTGATATTCCATTCTTCAGTAAACAGCTGGAGGACAGCAACAGCTTAAAGGCTAATGACACTCTAAGAAGTTTAGCACTTAAGTTGAAATTTCCAGAGTACACAGCAAGTGAAGGGGACAGAAGTAATGAAAAATACAAACACACCACTCTTTTCTAGTAGGTATTTGCAATGGCTATAGCGAAGAAGAGAGCACATGTTTCACATTAGGACAAAAGCAAGACTACTCAACATTATTTTTGGTTGTTTGCACAAGATTATGAACGTTTCATGTCAGAACATGCTATAGTATGCTTGAAGAAAATATAATAAGCAAGCTATTTGTAATTTTTTCTCTACCACGAAATTATCTTTCACGATACAACAGTCTAAATTTTCAAGAATAGGAACTACTTTTGACAGCATAGTTATAAAACATGTTTACATTTTTTTTAAATAAAAATTTTAGAAAAAAAAACACTTCAAAGATACTAGAAAGCAAAAAGGGGCAAGAAAAAAATATAAGCTTTAAAACGTAACCCAGTGACAGCATTGCCATTACAAGTGCAGAACAACTTTTTTAAACTTACCTCTCCTCCGTTAACATACTCCATCACAAAACACAAACGATCCTTTGTCTGGAAGGAATATTTCAAGGACTTGCAAAGAAAACAGCAAAACCAAACCAATTATCAACATGTATTAACCCAATTTCTTGCACTTATAACTGTAACAAAACTTAATTTTATCCTCTTAAGCAGACAATTCTGACTTGGTGAGAACTTTCAGAGTAATTAAAAGTGTAACTTCCCATCTGGAGCTTGAGATTAATTAATACAAAAACCTTCATGTCTTCCCTTATCTCTGCCACATAGCCATTGGTATGAAAACATCATGCTAGTTATAATAAAATACTAAATATTTACTAAAATACACAATTTTATACTGCATTTCTCACTGCCATACATGGTACCAGCTATTCTCACTCATCATATTTTATGATGTCCACTTCCACAATGACCATGACAAGAGAGATTACCATAGTCTTTTTTATTTCTCCCAAATGAAATCTTAAAAGTGATCTTAACCTCCAGCCTGCTTTCATTTCCAAAGCAAGCACTCTCTAGTTTCACATACTATGCAACATTAAAAACAGAGTGCCAAATGAATATATCTAGCTACATATCATTTTAAAATTGTAGCAAATGTTATTATCTTAATTAAAATTTTTTTATTTTATCAATGTTGATTTGATGTTCCTTGGAAAAATGATACCAAAGAAAATCCACAGATGCAGGCTTGGTCTAAAAGAAACAAAATGCAGTAGAAGTATATGTAAAAAAAATCATAACAAGACTCAGGTGACTTCAATACTGCATGTCTCCTTAAAATATTTACTTAATAGTATCAGAAATATATAAAGATACAACTGCAGTAACATTGTTGCATGATTTGATTGGAATTATGCCTACTCCTGCTTACCTTTACACTCTAATTTAAGAAACTTCAGGGGATCTCATTTCTCTTGACTGAATTTCCAACAATATTTTGGCCAAGCAATGTAAATGCAATCCTCTGCTTTCTAAAGGGTTTGTTTATGATTTTTTGAACAGGAAAGTTTCCATGTTATACTTTGATACTTTAATACAAAAAAGAAAAACATTTTCCCCTATCTTGAAACACAACATGTTAATTATCTTTTGAAACCAATGAAAATATTTTCTAATATATTCTCCAAGGAGAGGAATCAGAATTATTTCTACAGAAGAAAGTCAGTTGTAAAATTAAAACTATTAATCAGAATTTGAAATGAATCTTAAAATTTTCATCTCCTTTTCAGTATTTTCCTTTTATTAAGTATTAACCATATGAAGACAAAGATATTGAAGTGGTGGGGGTTGAGTTTTGTTGCTCCATGGGCTACTTATGCTGAACAAATAGTTATTTTTATCATTTTATTGAATTCTTAATTAAGTTTTCTTGGTAAAAACTACTTACTTGACACCATGTGAAATCAATAACTTTTATTAAAAAAGTGTTCATATACAAAAATCACAAAAATTGCACAACAGTTATATTCTACAACTAAATTTGTTTTCAGTGCAGTTAAGCTTTGCAAAATTATTAGAAACTTTATTTCTGAACTCTTGAATACATATTCTGATAAAGGATTATCATAAGCACCAGATAGCTACTGCTGGTTTACAAATCACCATGAGGAAGACTTTAAATTTGTTTGTAAGTTCTGTTCATAATGGAATACCCATCATGTTGAAAATTACCTGATAATGTACTGAAAGCTAATTCCTAATACTTACTGTTAAAAAAGGGTGTCTGGTGTTTTTCAATACTCTGCTTTCTGTAAGCGTATGAGCCACTTCATCCTGAGAAGTAAAGAGTAGAAGTAGGTCTGAATTAAGATATAAAATTGTTATTTTATTAATTAATGAGGAAAAGGTCAACACTTTGGAAAAGAGAAAGCTACAGTACAGTGTTGGGAAAATGAATGAACCTGAAAGAAACATGACAAATAATCCACATTTTTTGAGAAAAGATTTTAAAGTGAATTTAAGTTTGGCAAAATACAATGTAACATTTTATTTTACTTTATTTTTCTTATTTTCTTGCTTTAAAATGAAGTCTTTAACTTTATATCCAATGCAGGGAAGCAGGAAATGATAATATTGGATTTGATAGTTTAAAAATACAGTCATCACAACTTTGCAGTTCTGGTATGAATCATCTGCACACATCTACAGAGAGGCGGAATCAATTTGCAGGAAACATACACAGGTAGTAGTAACTGACAGGCAACTACGGGACCTGGTCTAATCTAGCCTCATGTTGAGTAAAGACAGTTTTTCTGTTTTTAAACATTCGCTTGGTTTGGTGTTTGGTTTGTTTTTCTTTAAACCCAGGTGGCTGTACACCCCCCGCTCCCTCCCTCCCCTGCCTGTCCTGTCCTGTCCCGATGAGCAGTGCTCCTCTGCTCCTCGACGGGCCGACCTCCTTCCCCGCGGACACACACAGACCTGTCCGACCTCCTTCCCCGCGGACACACACAGACCTGTCCGACCTCCTTCCCCGCGGACGCGGACCTGTCCACGGGAGCTGGGAGATGTCCATGCAACCCCCGCCCCGTCTCCCGCCAGATTTTGAGAAAGCGGCCATTTGGAGAGAGACAGCGGCACTCCCCTTCCTGTCTGTGAGCCTGAAGAGGGAAGGTTAAAGATGAGCCCTGTGCCAACGGGAGAGAAAGAAACTACCCCAGGGCTGCCAGGGGCCGGACCTAAAGGGCCTGAGAGGCTCTGGCCTGGTTTATCCATCTTCTGTAGCACTAAGCTACCACTGAGTATTATAGTCCACAGAATTGAAGACTAACTTAATGTGACTCAAATGTCAACCATAATCCTGCAGAAGTAAATATATTTAGCCAGAGTATACTTTATTATTGCTACAAATAATACCAATATATCTTTATGGTACTCCACATGCTTATCAGACTAAGCTCTGAAGATAAGGTATTATTAAACTAGAAAGTAAACACAGATGTCAGGAGTTTTAAATTAGATTTTAAAAATTGTCAAAATAGGAATTTAAACAACAACAACAGAGTTAGGAGTAATAAATTATGATGCCATTTAGCTGAATAGCAGTGCAACACTGAGTGTACACAAGACAACCACATATTTGGAGAAAACAAAACACACTTCAAGGAGAAAAGCAAGCCTGAAGTTTTACTTATTTATTTATTTTTAAACCTCAGTGGTTCACCAGATATGGGGCATAAAAAGCTGGCAATGGTGAGTTTTTCTAGCATTGCCTCAGAAGTTTGTAATACTGGTAGCAGTTTCCTGGTAAGTGTAATACTCATCTGTCACGAAAATTTAGGATCAACAGACTTATTATGAACTGGACAGATGCTATACAGCCTTCTAGATACAGCTCTCAACGCACCACTTTTCTGCTTCATATTATGCTGTTACAGGTATGACCTTCTATAGTGTATATTATATCGTTATGGTTGGACTCGATGATCATACGGGTCTTTTCCAACCTAAACGATACTATGATTCTGTAACGCATTATAGGCTGAGGTGGTACTGCAGATCTATTCTACCTAGTGACTGTATCCTTAGCATCGATCTCGAGTTAAATGTTACTGATAAATCCCCATGGCATACTTACACACTGACTGGGCTAGACAGCTAAGTTCAGGCTCGAGTCTGCTTTTGTTTTTAGGTTTGGGAGGAATGGAAAAACTGGTATTTGGTGACCACAGGGAAAAAAACTATGATCACTCAACTTGTGAAGATCTAAGCATAGTCTATTTTTTATTCTTTCATGTTTCTTATCAATATGCAACCATACTATGGAAAACTTAGAGGGACTCCCTTCAAAACTAAATTCCAGTTCTGAGGAAGTCAAATTTAAAAGACTGAGGTGCTCACATTGTCATTATGGGATGAAAGGCATCTTTCCTCGCACACTTAATCTTCTTGTTAGTCTACAAATAGGCAGAAAAACAGACCCTGGTCTGCTTCAGGGAGTGCCAGGTTCTGCCCAATCACTGAGCTAGCATTCTGTTTTCAGGTAAACAGATCAATGAACACTGCATCCCTGACCCTTCAAAATTTCTCTAGCTTCATACATCTGTGAACAAGAATTTTTGCTCAACAGAGACAAAGTCATCTGAGAATCAGTTTTAACCTTTCTAAAAATTCAGTGATAATGTAGCAGCCAGCAAAGTAAAAGGAAAAACCTTAAAATTAAAAAATGTGTTTTGTATTTTATTGATACAAAGAAACCAGCTGAAATGGTCTGAAGGCTGGAAGGGTATAAAGGAGCAGCAGCAGCAGAACAGGAACTCATAGCAGTCAGACATAAGACTCCCCTGAGGACCCCCTGGGTGCCACAGCTGAGCAGAGCACTGGGAAAGGATATTACTCTGGAGACTGGGCCCCAGCATGCAGCAACCAGATACGTTCTGGGACCCACAGGGCAACCCACAGAGATTGCTGCCATTTATAAAGTCTTACAAGGAGGGCCACCAAGATGCTCCTTCCCATGCAGGATCAGGAGAACACAGCAGCGATACCCTCCTTTCTTTCTGCATCTCCTGATTATGAAGAAAAGGGCACTGTGTTGCTGTTAGTCCAACTCACATACATGCCGACTAGCCTGCCAGTGCATGCAAAACAGCTGCTAAGGGCACAAAGAACTCACAGGTCAGTCTCTTCTCTGCTGAAGACATAAAATTAAGTCTCTCCCCCTATACCAGGGCTGGTTTCAATGAAACTCAAGGAAATATAATTTTCTTTGAGGTTTCTACCCCTCTATCAAATTTAATCAAAACTGATCAACACATTCAAAAGTTATTAGAAAGTGAGTCACGGACAGACAAATGAACACAGAGATAGACTGCAAAACACTGCACGCCTTGTTTTCATAGGCCAATAGGAAGATTAGAAAAACCTGAAGGATATTTTAAAATAAAATATATGTTAACCACAGTAGTTCCCAGCCACATTCAGTTTTTACAAATACTGGTATTGTTAGCCTCAAGCATTCAAAAATCTCAGTCAGATCCACATCCCTCAAAAACTTCCTTGGGACTACTTTCAGTTGTGTCTCATGGTGATAAAAGCATGTAGGTTTATTGCTCTCAACTTATTCTGTGCAAGTGGGATTCGAAACTTTAGAATTGCTAGAAACAAAGCTCAGAGTAGATGACCTTCATATTTAAACTTAGTAAAATTATGACCAAGCACAAGATCTAGTAACACTAAAATAATCAAGTTTAAGTGACTGGACAATGCTAGTTTAAGCCACTTCTTCAGACATCAGCTTCAGACTTTTCTTGTTCCTCAAAAACTGAAAAAATGAAATTGTTAGCCCTATGCACAGTAATCTTATCTAACGTAGAAAGAACAGAGCACAGGCCCACTAAATTAATTGCATTTATCTGAATAAACCTGCAGTTGACTTAAAAAAATTTTTAAGTATATAATATACCCTACAATGCACTTTTTCTTGTTTTAAACTTGGATTGCACTATCTTCCTGCCCAGTGAACCCTCTCAATGTTTTCACACACTCTAGATTAAAAGGCACTGGAAAAAGAGATGCAAAATGGGTACAAATACTTTTTTGTATTCCTGTTTTCTGAAGATACACACATATTTCTAACAAACTCGGTTACCATAAAAAAAAAAATACACCTTATGTATTAGATATTGATTATTCCATTAAAAAAAAAATGACCCAATATTAAAACTATAGCCTTCCTCACCTTTGCAATAATGACTTCTTTCTTCAAAATCTTCATAGCATAGTATTTCCCACTAGCCTTCTCTCGGACCAGGATAACTTTGCCAAACGTGCCTTTGCCCAGTAGTTTTAAATAGTCAAAATCATTCATTGTCTGTCAGGAGCAAAGAACAAGGATTAACAAGACTTATGCTATCCAGTTCCAATATGTACATAAGTGTGTCCACATAAAACCAAATGCTGTTATTGATATAATAAGAACAGTTTACAAAAATAGGTACACTTCTATGATTAAGTTCATAGTAGTTAACTGTATCCTTAAACCACTACGACATATCGTACGATAGTATTATTATAGTTCTCTGAAGTCAAGTACTGCACAGTATCCTACACACACACATACTTGTTTTCACAAAGCACACACAGAGCAAAGTCTTAGCCTATACCAGCAATCCATGAATTCTCCACATCTAAGAAAGCTCCTAAACTCCTGTGTTACAAGGGACACAAGAATGTGGCGTATCAGTAGGTTTTGTGTAACACCAACCACTGCATTGATGGCTTTTCTGAAACACACATGATCCTTACTACAATATTATACCAATGAGACTCTACAACAGTCTTTGCAGTAGAGGTGGACTTTTAAAAGTTTGAGTACAGATTACAATTACGTGGTTTTTACATTAATCAGTCCGGCTCTGAAAAGGAAGAGGTGGCAAGTTTTCCTCTTTCACGTGACTCCCTTATAGTGACCGTTCAAGCATCTAGTATCGCCCTAGTTTTGCAGGTTAAACATAGTACATCCAAGAGCTGGTTCTAGCAACAGACAGTTAGAGTCTAGTAGGTTTATCAGCTCAACTGGAGTGTCACACACAGAAAGAATATGACCAGATAAGCAGTTTAGCCACTTTCATGAGCACAGAGCTTGAGTCAATGATCATCTTAGTTCTGCAAGTTCATTTCACAGCCTGTTCACAAGCATCAAACCTATGGTCTATGCATTAGATGCAAAGATGAGGATGTTAAAAACAGCACAATTCTGAGAATGCAGTGAATGCACAGGGTCACCTTGAATTGACAGCAGGGTTTCTCTGGCCAACTCAGGGCCATCATTGGCTTCCACTGTGTTTCCACAGCACATCTTTCAGCGTGCTGTGTTACTGGCTTGGTTGCAGCACCACATAACCACACACAGACCATTAAGGCACCCAGGAACCTTGAGGAAAGCAGTTAAAAGCTCTGAAAGACAACACGCTCACCTTTTCTTGTTACTGTACTGTCCTGCAGTATCAATTCCTTCCTCCTGCAGTATCAAGTATCTTCCTTCCTTTGTGAATAATACAACTCAAACATTTATAAAGAGTAATTATACTCTGAGTCTCAGTCTTGCTAAGTTAAATATACTTAATCCTGTTTACATGTGAGGAAAAGAAAAGATTGTGCTTTATCTTTCATCTTCCTAGTGTCTCTTTCTATCACTAGTTGCAGCCTCAGGCAGTTTTCTTGAATACTGGCATTACAGATAAACTTCTACTTGTGTCTTCCACAATGGATTAGTACTTTCCTTATCTCTACCAGAAACACCTCTAACAGTGCCTACATATCTCACACACATTCCAAGTATAGAGCTATCGGGCATATCCCTGGTGTGCAATCACAAATAGTGGAGGCAAAATATATTCTCTCTTGTGAGAAAGAATAAAAGGCAAAATTTCCTTCTGAAATTATTTATTCCTTTAAACTCAGGTGCACAATAATATTACTGTGGATCTGAAGTTGCTGTTGACAAACTGTGAAAATAATTTATACAATTGCTCAGAGTCAGTTTGAAATCTGCTCACATAAGGGGCAGAACTGAAGTTCCATCAACCACTTTAATGCCGTAATTCCTTAGCTTTCCTTAGCTTTTGTGTTCAGCCTGCAACTTAAAAGCTGCAAAGGGTCTCCAACAGACTACTTTAGGTAACACCTGGATAGCCGGATATTTCAAAGCTTTATTAAAGAGAAGATGCTTTCCATCTATCAATTTTCTAGCTATATCAGCAGGAATTAAATCTTTTTCCCATGTCATGGTTGATTGGTAGCTTCTAAGCAAACTATCCTTGGTGAATTCCATTCTTTGCTCACATGTAAACTTACTTAAATATTTTGCAGTGACAGATTTTGTTTTGCTGCCAAAACCACCTCACATCAGGAAGAACAAAACTGCATTTATGCCAGTAAGAAATATGAGTAACAGATTTCTAAGGCTCAGTATACTTTTTACCTAAAGCAAACTCACTTTACACAAGTGAGTGTAAAGTTACAGTTTATGACCACAGACAAATCCTTAAATGGTCAACTTTTCCAAAAACTAGTATAATGTGTTACAATTAGTGATGCATGATGTAGTATGTAAAGTTGTGTGCAAACACTATGTGGCTACTAGTACTTAATCAACTAAAGGTAAGTCTTTTCAAATATCACAGTCAGTACTTTGGAAAGTCAGGTTATCTACTTCAATATTTCTATATAACCATCAAGCAAAAACAACTGCCTTTGTGCTAAAGCAGTGAAAATTGACAAAAACACAGGAAAAATCCAAAATGCATTCAAAACACACTTCAGGTGGAAGGTGAGTAATTCAGGGCAGAATCCTCTGTATCTTCAGCCATAAGCTATCGTGTTCCCCGACAAAGAATGGCTAACAGCTTTACTGATAAAGAATACTGAGTTAGTGACTACAACAACTTATCACTTCTAACAGTCAAAAATTTACGGGATCATAAGCAGCCTCAAAGGGGTAACTTTTTCCCATACTTCTGCTCTTCTTTGAGAGGCTGGACTTAAGAGAAAGACCATCAGAGTCTGAATAAAACCAGCTCAGAAAAGCAGCCCTTTGCCCACACACAGGAGGAGGATCTTGGCTCAACTGATCACAGACATGGGTTTCATGCTAAGGGCAGCAAGCCAGTCAAACCAAAAGACTCATTCGCCCAAAATTTGCTTACATAATGTTCATCAAAGCAGTCATTAATCTAGCTGCAAGCTCAGTGAAAACAAGTTAAAAATTATATGTATATTTATAAATGCAAGGTAATAGGTTTGCAAGATTTTGAGCTGTGGCTTAACAGCAGGTTATGGCAGTAGTGCTAATTCTAAGAATAAAGTCTCCCGATGCTCTCATTCTTCAGAAGCTCAGCAGAAGGTTTAGAGATGATACACAGTGCAGGGTAACTCATAAAGTCTGCCAAAGAACACAAGACCTTGGGAGATAAAAACACAGATGCCATAGCTAAGGGTGTACTGAAAACTGGTGGAAAAATGGAAATACTTCCTAAACCTGAGGGATGTTGGTAAGCAAGTTTGGAGGCTCCCATAAGATTGGATTCTTTCTCCTTGATGATTTTCCCACATTTTCATTCCTACTGAACTCTGAGGATTGAATCTTTTTCCTCATTACATTACTTTTGGTTTCCTCTGAAAAATCTATTCTTTACTCATCCTGCACCCTGGAAAACAGATCTGTAAACAAAGGAAAAGCAATGAAGTTACAGGAGACTGCATCACCAAAAGAACCATATAATGTTTAGCCTTCTGTAAAGCCTATTTACTCCCCTGTGGATGATCTGTTAAAAAAAATACACCTTACTACAGGTGTTGAAAATCCCTACAAGGAAATAATTTTTTAAAATTCCTAATTTGCACAAAGATTATACCACTTGGAGTTTTCATCTAACTTCATCAAGAAGAAACTCTACTTACAAAGAATAGTACAGCAAGAAATAAAAGCAGTTTGCTAAGAATTTCTAGTGTTCCGAATTTCAGTGATGCTATTACTGTAAAACTTAAGTGGCACATTGACACCATTAAAAATAATTGGGGGGAAAAAAAAAAGTGCTTTTGGTTCTTCCAGTTAATCTGGCCAGGGACATTGCTGTCATGTCTGTTCAAATCAAGTTCCACATCCTAAAGACTGTTTTCTTCGTAAACCTTTTGCTACCTTTTTAGAGAAGAACAGGCCCACTCTTCTCTCTCATTTCTTAATCTGATTATGCTCTTCTACTCATATGTATACCATCTGGCGCATGCACAAGCAAAATTCACTGGGCTTAGATGTAAAATCAGGTGACAAAACAAGCCTGTAGGACACATTGTGCAAAAAATCCCTGAAATGAAAAGAAATCCAATACCAAAAATATGCAATAAAAATGCATTAAGTCATTATAACTGAAATGGTTATGATTATATTAACAACTACAAAAGCTTAAAGAGAAGCTTTTCAGAAACATTTCTACAAAACAGAAACAGTTCTAAAAAAATGTATTTTCCCAATTTCAGTTAACACAGAGGGAGTGACAACTCCCCGTCATTATAGTCACTTAACATTTTTGATTCCAAAACCTTCTGAAAACCTTTTGCTAAAGTCTTCCAACAGTCAGAAATCTGCAGTGGGATTTTGAGTTGTGGAAAAAAAAAAAAATCCTTACGGTCATTAGTATGCTCTTCACTGGCTACAAAAACTCCATTCTGGTCTATTATTAGGTGTTGAATATCACCGTTTTTCATTTCACCTTTGTTTTGTAGAGTTTGCTTTTGGCTTGTTGCCAAAGTCATTAAATATTCTGCAGCACTGCACATGCACTGTCCCGGCATCTTATTTCAGCATTTTTTTAAAGTGTAAGCGGCAAGACAGAAACAAAACTGATCTTCCTACTCCTCCTGTTCCCACAACCCCTTTTGTGGTATGGGAAAATGCACTGCACTGTGAACAAGGAAAGCATACATTCCAGTTAAACTACTTATATTAGACAGCATCAATTTTGACACCTTGAAAACGCTTGTTGTTATGCAGTGGTTTTGTACTCCACTAAGAGGATACACGGGCTTGGAATAGTGCTCAGTTCTTTAATAGAGCAAATCCAAATCCCTTCCACATAATCATGCTGCCTTTCAGAAAGACTGACACATCTCGAATGCTGCCTCTGTCTTGCTGTTACTTATCATATTTTACCCTGGAGCACAATCATTAAACACCGATGCTGCAAAGCTAAAAGTTCAATGTTAACCTGACAATGTATGATGAGAGTATTGTTACAGCTGTATATAATGAGGTTTTACCTTTTGCTATAGCGGAAAAAGGTTAGAAAATTGCATACAATGAAACAACATGGAAGAGCTATGAGCTATGTTTGCACTGCAAACTCATGTTCTTAAAAGTTAGGACATGGTAGAACTGAGATTTCCTATGACACCTTTGTTATATTCATAAGGGTATAGTTTTCAGGCACTGATTTTTCTATGATTGTTGTTTCATATAGTGCAATGAACAAAACATGCTCTATCAGTAAAGGCACAAGTTCACTATTTCTTTTCATTGTTCACCATTCAAAGGCATTCAGTTACATTAGCTCTAAGACTATTTTGCTCTGTCAGCAGACTTCCACTTAGTTTTCTACAGGTTTCACTTCCAAGCTAGAAAGAATGAAGCCAGTCCTATAGAAACAGGTTATTATTTCTCATGCAATTTCAATGCATTTCTTGAGCCATGTCAATGCTGTATAGTAAATGAAAGACAACTGTTTGAATGATCCATTCGTCAAGAGTAGTCTGTACTTACAGAAACACAGGACAAAATGGAAACACAAAATAATAAGCAAATTTTTGTGTGGCACTGAATCTTTAAAACATGCACTTAGTTGTGTGTTTGTCCTGTTGACTTTGGAGATACAAGTATGTTACAGCCAACCATATACATACTTCTACTTACACCAAAAGCTGTGAAGAACTGCAAAAAAATAAAACATTGTATTCTCTTACTTCATTGAAAACTAAAGCAGAGTTATTTTCCCAGATAGCAAAAAACAAGGTCATTAAAAGCCAAATCCTGCTAGTCTTTCTCATGCAAATTATCTAATTTGTACTGGGTATTATTTGCATGAGAAAAGGGGCAAATCTACTTGTCTAAAGAAAATATTTTATTACCATACTTCTAGAAGAGTAAACAAACAAAAAGGAAAAGATTAAAATAATATTCAAACAATAAGCAGAATGTTAACATGTGCCTGAACAGTTAAACTTTGTTTTTCAAAAGTGCTGTATCAGATAGCATAACAAATAAATAAAACTAGACCAGTTCAGCTTTATTGAAATAAAACAAGTACTTCTATGCTTGTAATACACTGAAATTTATGTAGAAATACTATTCCCTGTATATTGTTTTACCCAACTAGACCATTCTACAAAAGTTATTTACATATTAGTCTTGTCAGTTATTTTTTAACGTCATTACCTTTCTTTTATGATGGGTTGTTGAAGCATCCATCTCTTCTTCTCCTATATTGTCTATCTGTGAAGTTGGACTACAGTTCATCCTCTCCTCTTCTTGCCTCTGAAGTCTGTCTGCTACAGCCTGGATTGCTTCTGTCCATTCTTCCCTATCATGAACAAGCCAACACCCCTATTAGAAACTCATAAAATACATCCAAATAAATGGTTTATAATGTTCTTCACGTGCTACATTGCTTCAATGTTTAATTCTCATGTTACACAGCACAAGACTCATATAATCACTTCAATTTCCTTCCAAATTCTGCATTATGTTAAAGGCAGTGAAGTTGACCAGCATCAAAAAGGATCACTGCACAGTTAATTTCAAGAATTACCAGTGCCTGATTTTGTGAATATTTTAATAGTGAAAACTTGAAAGCACATGGTCCAGGTCTAATACAGCTCAGAGCACAGAATGTCATCTCCTATCCGATACTATCTGATAATAACTTGCTATTTTAAGAGACTTTTTGGTATTCCCCTTCTCTGCAAGACATTTTCACAGAAAATAAACAAGATTTATTAAACCATGCCCTGTGTTCACCTCCTTGTCTGTCTCCTCTTAAAACTCAACATGTTGGCTAATTTCAAATTCCCCTGAGAAGGAGGCCCTCAAAGATAATTAAATTCCTACAAGCATCATAAAAACCAGCAGCTGCACAGAGGGGCAGGCCCAGATGAGGGTTTCTGTGGAGGGACAAGCAGGGGCAGCTGAGCCCATGGCTATTCTGTGTGCTGGCTAACCAGCACAAATACACCAGCCGGCCCATCAGCATGCCGTAGCCCCACACCAAGTGCAGTACCTGCTGCTTTTTGCTGAGCCAGCAAGGGATATGGGAGGAGTCTGGTGGTATTACTGAATGCAGTGGGAGGTACTACACCACATACACAGAGGAAAGATAGGGTGGAGAAACAGTACCAAGGCAGAATTTAAAAAATTCTAAGTGAATATACTAATGAAAGAGAAACAACAGAAAAAGCAAAGTTGTTGGTTATTTATTGATACAAACAATATGAATAAAGCCAAATCATAGTACTAGTCTCAACAGGACAGATGCCCACAGTGGGAAGACTCAGTGCATCTAACCAGAGACACAGTCTAAAATGTTTTAGCAAGGTATACAATCCCGTATCTCCTACATGCTTTTGATGCATCAAAAAAGTTAATTCTTAAGAGTTTGTCTATATTTACTGAAACAAGAAAAACTAATAAGCAAACAAATTATAACAAACATACTGCTTTCTGTGCCAAAAGAAGGAGCATATTAGGATGAGTAAAAGGAAAATTTAAGACAGCGAGGCTGGAAAATACTTCAATGCACGCTTCCATTGTTGAAAGTTTAACACTTCAGAGACATATCATGACATAGTTTTGGCTTATTTCAACACACTCATCCCACCTACTCACAGGCAACTCTTACACTAGCTATGAGCTCAGATAATATTTTACAGAAGCGGACTTATAAATTCTTCAAATAACTGTTCAGATGTGCTCAGAATGTCACAGTTCCAAGTGCTGATCATTGTGCAGTCCCAGCAGAGACTGTGCCAAGGCTTCTGCATAAAGAACACAGAAGGCAAAACAAAAATAAAACCCTCACCGTTCCTCCGGAGTGTCTACATGGAACGTCCTCTCTATGACAGTGGTCCACTGAAGACATCTGATAATGAATGTGTTTGGCTTTGGTCGCTCTGTTTTCATTAGTTGACATTCTAGAGAAATACATGACATTGTCTCTTTTATACATTGCCAGTTAATGGGTGACAAGCAAACAAAATTACTTAGATAAAAATACATATAGCTTATGTATACCCACCCAGCATGTATCCAGCACGTATAAGGAAATACAGAATGGCAATATAACCATGGGCTTCAACAAAAAGTAGCAGGTAATAATCATAAGGTGAAGAAAGCAGTCAGAGGAATTGATGGAACTTGTTGCCCACATACAAAGCGCAATCTCCATTTGCAAACTAGGTCTGTGTTATGAGAGTAAGAAGAGTATGAGATCCCGGATTGCTCTAGTATGCCAAGGTAACAGCAGTAGCCACAGGCACATTTTTCCATCTGTACCTGGCAGGAGGAATATGACATTTTCCCTTCAATGGTAACCATGCCACAATTACCCACACTACTGTCACTTCAGGATTAGATTTATTGTAAAATACCCTATCTGAGGAAACTCAGATGTTGAAACTAGCCTGATTATTAAATATAGAATAATCCCACACACACCCCCACTGGGGCTGCCCAGGAAATCTAGTTCTCTTTGTGCCCCAGTGCAGAATGAGGTCTACCTATGCTATTTCTCATAAGTATTTCTTTAAATTCTTTCTACAATCACTGAAAAGTAGAAATTTCAAAACCTCTGTAAGCAAACTATTCCATCCAACTATGAGAAAATTAATTATTTTTATAGTTGGAAGATTTTTCCTAGCATTTAATGCAACTGTTCCTATCATTTAAGCATATTGTTTCTTGCCCTATTGACTAAATTATTTTGTCTTTTCAGCAGCTATCCCTTTTAGACATTTGAACGCTATTTCATCTCTGCAGTCTTCTCTGGCCTAAATCAGTTCAACCAATCTGTCCTCACAGGTTGTGCCTACAGATCAAGATCTTCCTTGTCACACAATTCTAGGCATACAGTAGACTGCCTATTACTCCTTTGTCACAGGACCACAGCACTGGTAATTCAGGCAATGGTTCGGTGAGACTGTGTATTAGATTTTATGATGTAGCATACTGCACTAAACATTACATCTGCAAAACACTGACCTACTAGAACTCTTTACTCATGCAAATATATTTAAACATTTTTGTGAAGTTAAGGTTACTCTGTCAAAAGTGTAATTTGTTTTCCTGCAGCTACCACAAAACAGACATGAACATCATATCTCATGTTCTAGAATGCTCTCACTTGTTCAAAGCTGATCCAGATCAAATGCGTGATTTAAAATTATTCATCAGGTTCACAAATCAATCAATAATGAATATAGCAACAGAATTCCTGTTCACTTACAATCCGCTGTAGCTTCCTTTTGGTAGAGGTACCACCTACCAGTTGACCCCCACCTTTTACTGATGTAGTTGACTATTCTTTAGCATAAAACCTTGCACTTATTCTTGGTGAATTACATTTTATTTATTCCAGTTAATGTCAACACTTTACAGAAGTCATGTTATATGACATGTACCACTTCACAAGGCATGCTGTTCTTTTACAGAAATAAATTACATTGGCTTGCCCCCCCCCCCCCCCCTAAATTCAGGGTCCTGAAACCTCAACCACATCATCTCCAATTTTACAGGAATGCATTTTAAATATTCTCCAAGGAACTGCACCAGACCCAGCAAATTTCTAAACACCCAACATACATAAGTACCCTCTACTCTGCTTTTGTTTTCTCTCTTACACCTTTGTTGCTGGTATTAATTGTACAAGATGCACACTCAATAGCTCACCTCCTGAAATGCAGCTGCGTACTGAAAATACATTAAAGCAACTCTCTTTAATATTGATAGCTCATAACGAGCTTAAAGCCTTAGTTCAAGGCATTGATTTGTATGCCTGAACACCTAAACAATTTGGGACACAATTATCTAAGAAATGGACTCTGTTTCCATAATATAAAGCCACAGCAAGTATCAGCAGACTTACTTGTACTGAACCATCCTTAATATAGGTATGAAAGAACTGATATTACGGGTGTCTTTGTGAGGATGCCTTGATTTAAGAACTTTTATGCATACTGCAATTTTTTTACTTGAAAAAGCAAAGAGTGGAAGTGGGTATGTCTGTTGATAGGATTTTTCTCTGCAGCTTAGCAGAACACCTCAAAAGCTTGACAGACACATGTATAAAAAACGAAAGAGGAATAAAGTAATTATTGCACTATGCAGGTGTGTACTCCTTGATGCACAAACTTACATAATAATTTATAGATGTATGGTGAATATGTAAGCCAGGCTGTTCTGGTCAAGGAGATGACATTACATTTAACAAACCTGCATACACTGTGGAGACTCAAAAGAGAAACAGTAATCCAACCTCACTGCTTTTATAAACTCAGCTAGGTCTTGGATGGGATGAGAGCCATCCTCAACATTTAGAGGAAAGAGCTACAGCAGGATGGACACAGGAAGAGGGAGTTTAACAGAAAAGCTAGAAGAGAAACAAGGAGGACAGAAGCAGATGACAGGAACTTGGGTAGCACGATGAAGCAGAGCTGCTTAGAATACTTAACCAGGCTTGTAGCTGGATGCAAATATTACTCATGAGATCAAAGAAACCCCCATCTTCAGGGATACGGTTGAAGTCCAAGTTATGATCATAATGACAGTGAGGCTAGGGTTAACAGGCTATTTTGTTTTCTTAAATTCCTCAGCTGTAGCTCTAAGGAAGGTGTTGGGCTACCTTTGTAACAGAGGAGACTAGAAGCATTGTCTGCTCTAAGATTATCTTATCTTACTCCTGACGAAACCATCATCTCATCTTCAATCCTATCACACTTCAATCATGTAGGCTGAAATTTTCTTTGCTGGGTGTATGCCTAAAGCTGCACACTGCTGGAAAATACTACTTCTGGAGACGAGACTTAAAACTTGGCAAACCAAGACCTTCGATATCCTCTTAGTATTCCTGTGAAAATGTAAGGCATCTGGCCATGCTACATGTGGGAGGGATAACAGTGCAGTGGGAGGAGGGTAAAAAAATTACAATAACAATTACTAAAGCATAAAGTCATTGAAAATCTATGCATTGAGTACAATCCAGAGGCTACAGCTATCTCCCGCCTCTACACCTGCTAAATAGAGAGCTTTCTCCTATATTCATAGTACCTCATCCTATTCCTTATACAACATGAAATAGCAACTATCTCATCGAGGCAAAATCCAATACAGAAAGATGGCATACAGCAAATTATTTACAGAAGAGATGTTGGGGAAAAAAAGACTAGGGTATAAAGGGAGAAGAGTTGAAATCGGACAGGAAAAAGACTGGAACCTGTGTGAGAAAGAAAAACTTGGAGATAGCTCGAGTATAGCTAAACTAGAGTAGGTAGTTTCAGAGAACGGAGGTAAAAGAAGCTGCCAGGGACAGAAAAGTGAGGTGACTGTGTTAGGATAATCTGATGGCAAAAAGGTAGAGAGTCAAGTCTGCAGAAAAGTCTGTACCAGTTAAAAAGCACATCCTCTCCAGTGCCTGTAATGGAGCCAAAGACTTTTAATTTCACCATTCATTTTCTGATTGTAAATGCATACAAAAATGCATACATTAAAATGGCATTAATTTAAGTTTGCCAACTCAAGCACGCAAAAATTGAAACAAAATTAAGCCTGTCTATGTCCAAACGCTATCTATAATACAGTCTTTACCTATATAGATAGTATACTATATATAGTGTAATAAATGTTATATTACATATTAGTATGTACATTATGTAAATCTGTATCTAATATATAGACATATTATTGGTACTATCTATATTAATTTTTTCAGACAGTCCTCAAAGTGATGATGCGCATTATTAACAGAACAAAACATATGGATGTATACACTAAGCTCTGTAACTACCAAAGAGTATTTACTCTCTACGATTTCATTACAGATGATTAACTAAATCAATTAAAGGTACTAAAAAATACCTTAGCAATTGAAAATGGCACTGAAAACATAAAAAACCAAAAATGCCATTTCACTATCACTGAAGAATGCTATTGAAAAATAAAATCTAGCAAAACTTAATGCACTTTTTTCATATTGTGTTAAAAGTGGCTAAAGATTTAATTTCCTTGTGGAAGATTAAAATTGAGTATGTTTGTATCCTTCCCTTCTGAAGCAAAAAGAGTTTCAGAAAGAAGTGGAGGACCAATGTATTTCTAAAAGTGGTGTGCTACCCATCCTTCTCAAGTAGATATAAGTAACTGAAGTCTGCTGATACTTAGTACACCCACAGGATTCATGTGCTGCTGTACACAAATGTATGGGATAAACAACATTCCTGTCATGACTGCAACATCAATAAAAACTTGTTTTGTAAATGCCTTTCACCTACAGCTGGGGGGGGGGGGGCATCTATTAAGATGAATAAGTGCTGTAATACACAGTTACTGCTAATTACCAAAATATTTTTCTACTAATTGCTGGAAAAACCATAGTAGTTTTAGACAGAGACAATAGTTTGGAAACTACAAAATCACATAAGAATGAGTGAAACTGGCTACTGAGAGCTGGCTCCAAATGCTCGAGTGATAGTTGGGTCATTACCAAGAGTAGAGAACACTCTACCATAATGTCTTCAAGTTTGCTACTATACATAAACATATGTAATTAAAGGGCTGAATCTCAACTCAAAACAGTTGGAAGTCTAAATTATCATTTAAAAAGATGAGTAAGCCAGTAAACAGACAGACTCAACTTTGTGTTCTTGTATGCTAGCCATCTACAACTTGGAATTACACATTTTAATCCTAAAGCTTTCTGTCTTGCTGGGATTAAACATCAGTCATGAGAATTTTCCCCTTTAATATTAGAGGGGATGAAAAACCTTGGGGGAGAACACTTGTTCAAAGCAGCAGAATATGAAAATCAGTAACAGAAACTGACAACTCTGTTCCAACAAGTCTGTAGCACTCATTCGGCCGTTTTTGGATCTATACAGAAAATGGAAAAAAAATGAAATAAAACCAGTATAAAGAAATGCAACGG